GTAAATGCAAATGGCGACGTTTGAAATGACAATGTACTCAATTCTGTGCTAGAAAAAATCATTTATATACAAACATTGAAGCATTGTTATGTACTTTTACATAGAATAAAGTCAGTGGTTGTTGTATAGTTGACTTGAACTGTTATGAACCCCCCAAGAATCAGAAATATCACAGGTTTTTTGATCGACTACGTTAACATGAACGACGCCATTTTGATAAGATTTTTTTTAGCGATATCAGCATGTTGGCACGCAAAGTTTTTTCCCTATTAAAACGAGAACATTAACATAATTCCCGATATTAATCTTTGAATTGCAGGAACTGGATGTTTATGAGTTGGTAGGCTGGTGGTGATGCGTATCAGGGTTCAAAAAACCCAAATTTCATAGTGATAATTTTGTTTACATGTTTGTTTACGTTGTGGTTGCCCGAATTTGAAGTCAAAGTGAAGTCATACAATGAGGTATCGCTTTGCATGACGGTAACTTTTGAAGGTATTGTAATCTGTCTGACTTCCTGACTCCCTCGGCCCGCGTGTGAACGGTTTGTTTACCCGCACTGCGGTTTGAGACAAAAGAACGCTAGTCGTTTCCAGACCGGGGATAGAGGGACTGTGGTTAAAATATAGATTTTCAGAAGGGAAGCAAGGCAGCCTCAGTAGTGTTTTCCAAAATCAACAACACAGGTTTAATCTGTGTGCCTATAAGTTTCAAAGATAAACTCAAGACAAAGCAATGTTAGGATGTGTTATCAGTAGCTATCTGACACACAATGAGTGTTTCCAAACATTTGAGTGGTTTGTCTCCGCCCCTGTTTGTTTCACAGATTAGTCATTTGCATATGAATGTGTCTGACACAAGGTCACACAGCCACTGAAAAAAAATCATTGATTTTGGTGTTTTCATATGCCGAATTTATCCAATTATAGCTATCCCATTCCTTTATTTTTTGGTTTCCAATAGCCTTACACATTTGGATGTCCCTACACAAGGTAAAACAGACCTTGATGGGAAAACAAATTGATTGTGCCAATAAACAAGCTTGAAAATCTTTGCTGTTACTTCATGGACGTTTTCTAGGAGTTTATGTTTTTCAAAATACAAGGTCTTTAACTAAAAATAACGTATACTTATTGTCGTCGGATTAACACCAAATTTTCACAGCTTAAGGTGACATAGTTGTGTTCATGTTACACGAAGTACGGGCTAA